CAGCCTTCCTCGGCACCCCGGGGCCGCGGCCCCTGCCCGCTCAGAGGGCCGGCGGCGGCTCCTCAGCAGATGGACCGAGCATCCACTGCGCTGCGCGTGGTAAAGTGATGGCTTTTACTACTGGTTGTGTAACTTTCCCGAACTGGGTGACAACAGAAGGTAGCTTTGCTCAGCCCTCGGTAACGGAGCTCGGAGGAATGACGGCGCTGTCCCGGAGGGGCTGGAAGCAGATTTTCCAGCAGCAGGACACAGCAGGGTTTTTAAGCCTGGGTTCCATTAGTTCTGGCTCATTCAACATTTTCTGTGCCAGGGACTCCTTAAAACACAAAAGCAAGCAGAAACGTTGAAGATAAAGTATCTCCTGTGCGGTTCTTTCCAGCCTGCAGCATCCAGATATCCAGAGGCAACTGGGGCTGTCCAAATATTTGCGTCTCCCTGCAACCCCCCTCGGGCTGACTGAAGGAGCTGAAGCCTCTGACAGAGCCCACCAGGGCTCGTGGGGTGGGGGGGTTCAGGGTGCTGCTGGGGCAGAAGGGTTCGTCCTGAGCTGCCCGACCTTCCTGTTTCTCGGCATGGCTTTCTGAGCTTGGGCAGATGGCGAGGCTGCTCGCTGCCGTCCAGCCCTGCACGTTTCGGATGGAGAGGACGGCGTTTCCCAGCGCGGCCGTGCCGTGGGTGCTGTTGGGTTTGCACCCGCCCGCACCCGTCGCATCCTCCCGGGCTTCCTAACGCGCCCTGCCCACCACGTTACGGTCCTGGGCTGGGGCTGGCTCCGACGCCGAGGGGATCCCCATGGATCTGCGCCCGACTGCAAGCTGCTCTGCTGCCCCGGTGACTGCAAAGCGCTTTCTCAGCTGCTTCTGCAGCACGAGCATTTCCTTCATAATTTGTTAACAGCTCGTACAAAAAAATCGGTGTCTGCTTTTATTTTTCTCAGCTGTGCTTCCATATGCTGGCTGGCACAGCAGAGCAGCCAAAGGTTTCCTTCACGGGAATCGATGGTTCACCGTTATTTAGTTTTATTTGTAGAAACATTCAGACAAAATCAAACAACTAGGCTGAGTTAGGGTAAATATTTTCAGCGGACATGTACAGCACATCTGCTGTGCCAAGTATTTGTTGTTGTTTGTCTGATTTGTTTTGGTGGAGTAGTTTCATGTTCTGCCAAAGGAGCTCTTTAAAAATCAGCTTCAAAAGTTTTATCTGTGTTTCAATTTTCACACACACACAACATAAAATTTTTGGGGGAGAAAACGTGTTGCTTTTATTTATTTATGCTTCAGATCAATCCGTGCTTTGCTACCCCCACTCCCACCCTGGGAGTAGCTACTAGGAGTTGTGAAAGGGACCTGCAGCATCCCCTGCCCAGGTGGGGCTGCGGCCACTGTGTTGGGAGGGGGTCACCGTGCCAAGTCCCCGTGCGGGGGC